GCCACCATGCCCACTCAAAAAGTAAAATAAAACAAGAACAAATAAAATAGTATCTGATTTCTATCTAGACTGTAAGCCCACCCTTTTTTTGGTGGTACGGGGATTGAACACAGGCCTTGTACATTCAAGTATGAAGAGAAGAATATCAGCTCTTATACATCATTCTCTCCATCTCTTCATCCAGTGTCTGGCAGATTTTAGAGGAGTTAATAGTTTTGTTGAATAAAACTTTTAGAATTGGGTGTTTTGTATTTCATTTCACTAAATACTATAGGTATTGATTTATTAAGGTAACAGCTCACTTCGAACTTCTTTTTTTTAACCTGTAGATTTTTGCACAGTACCAACACCCAAAGCAGTAGGATATGTGGGATTTTCTTTGAGTGGGAGAGAATAATTTTAAGTCCTAGACTTACACTAATTTTTGTTTTTTTGAGACAGATTCTTGCCATGTAGTCCAGGCTGATCTCAAACTCACCATGTAGCCCAGGTTGGCCTCGAACTCACAGTAATCCTCCTGCCTCAGTCCTGAGTGGTAGGATTACAGGCATGTGCCACCAGGCCCAGCTTTACTTCTGCTAATTTTTTTAGTAGTAACAGACACGTAGATCTTTTAGTTTTGCTCTGATGTAAGTCATGCTGATGGTTGTATGTGTAATATAGGAAGTCTTTACTCATGAAATGAACATGCTCTGAATAAAACGGCAAGTACTACAAACTAAGAATGTACGTGACGCACACATTCTGTGGCTAAGAGCTGCTTAGTGTTTTCAGCAGGGACAGTATCTCTGGGTTCTCAGTACTCTTTGGATACCTCTAGTAGAACTTTTGCATTTCGTGTAGTAACCATTGAGTAGGTATGGGTGCAGCTGCAGCTGCTGTCTCAGCTTCTTCACAGGGGGCTGGAAACCTGGGCCTTTTTGCATACCAGATTTAAGGGTGAAAAGGGTGTTGCCTCTGCCACTGAGCTACATCCCAAGCCCTAAAACCAAGCCTCTTGTCTCTCTTGTTTTCTCTGCTAATAGTCCGAGAGTTGCTGAAAGACAGAAATTGAAACAATAAGGCCTAACATTTATTGTTCACTTATTGTGTGCCAGGCATATTCTGCTGGGTTGCATTATATACATTATCTCATTTAATCCTTAAAATAATCCTATCAGGTAAGAACTGTTATGTTTACTGACAAGGAAACTGATGATTGGTTAAGCAAATAAAAGAGCTGGAGGTCACACAGGTACTGACTTAATTTAAATTAAGATTTAAATCCATGCAGCCTTACTTAACCATTGTTATTCTTTTTACTTTGTTATCTCTTGATCCGAGGACCTAGATTTTGAATCAGTACTCACATTAAAGATTAAAACCTTTTTGGTTTCTGTATGTAGGTAGATAGCTATAATGACAGTAAATATTTGCTGACAGTTTTTACATCTGCCACTTAGCTTATTTTCCTTGGGGTTTTAATTAATGTGCAACCTAACTTTTTGTAGTGTTTCCTGTATTTCTGAGGATTCTTTTTTTTTTTTTTTTTTTGGTACCGGGAGTCGAGCTCAGAATCTTGTGCTTGCCAGGCAGGCGCTTTGCCACTGAGCTATATCACTGGCCCTGTTTCCTCCATTTCTTTGCTGTTTCAACATCACTTTTCAAATTGCATCTAACCCACATTTTGATACTTATTTATTTATTTTTTTATTTGAGACAGGGCCTTGCTATGCAGTTCCTGCTGGCCTTGAACTCAATGTGTAGCCTAGGCTGGCCTCAAACTTGTGGCAGCTCTCCTGCATCAGCCTCCCAAGTACTGGGATTACAGGTGTGCACCTCCATGCCCAACCCATTTTGAATTTTAAAAGAATTTCTTGGGGCTGGGGATTTAGCTCAGTGGCAAAGCGCCTGCCTGGCAAGCACAAGGTTGTGAGTTTGGTCCCCGGTACCAGAGAAAAACCAAAACC